ATGGGAAATCCATGGGAAACTCAATGGGAAATCCATGGGAAATCCATGGGAAATCCATAAAATCCATGGAAAATATGGGAAATCCATGGAAATCCATGGGAAATCCATGGGAAATCCATGGGAAATCCATGGGAAATATGGAAAATCCTTGGGAAATCCATGGAAAATCTGTGGGAAATCCATAAAATCCATGGAAAACCCATGGAAAATATGGAAACTCAATGGGAAACTCAATGGGAAATCCATGGGAAATCCATGGGAAACCCATAGGAAATCCATGAGAAATCCATAAAGTCCATGGGAAATCCATGGGAAATCCATGGAAAATCCATGGGAAACCCATGGGAAACCCATGGGAAATATGGAAACTCAATGGGAAACTCAATGGGAAACTCAATGGGAAACTCAATGGGAAATCCATGGGAACTCAATGGGAAATCCATGGGAAATCCATGGGAAATCCATGGAAAATCCATGGAAAATCCATAAAATCCATGGAAAATCCATGAGAAATCCGTGGGAAATCCGTGGGAAACCCATAAAATCCATGGAAAATATGGAAAATCCTTGGGAAATCCATGGGAAATCCATGGGAAATCCATGGGAAATCCATGAGAAACCCACAAAATCCATGGAAATTATGGAAAATCCATGGGAAACCCATGGAAAATATGGAAACCCATGGGAAATCCATGGGAAACCCATGGGAAATCCATGGGAAATCCATAAAATCCATGGAAAATATGGAAAATCCATGGGAAATCCATGGAAAACCCATGGGAAATCCATAAAACCCATGGGAAATCCATGGGAAATCCATGAAACCCATGAAAAATCCATGGGAAACCCATGGGAAATCCATGGGAAATCCATAAAATTCATGGAAAATCCACAGGAAATCCATGGGAAATTCATAACATCCATGGAAAATTCATGGAAAATCCACGGGAAATCCATAAAATCCCATGGTCATTCCCAAGAAAAAATTCCCAGATTTCCACAAAATCTCCCAAAATCCTCCTGATCCCCCCTTTTGCCAGCATTCCCCCATCCCAGGGTGGGATCAAACCCAAAATCCAAAATCCCAAAATCCAAGATCCCAAAAACCAAGATCCCAAAATCCAAGATCCCAAAAACCAAGATCCCAAAATCCAAAATCCCAAAATCCAAGATCCCAAAAACCAAAATCCCAAAATCCAAGATCCCAAAATCCAAAATCCCAAAATCCAAGATCCCAAAATCCAAAATCCCAAAATCCAAGATCCCAAAATCCAAAATCCCAAAATCCAAAATCCCAAAATCCGGGATCTCCCATCCCACATTCCCGGGATCTGGAGCATCCCAGGCCCCAAACCCAACAGATTTAACCCCAAAAAAACCTGGGAAAACGGGAAAATGATTGAAATTCCGGAATGTTGCCTCATTCCCACCCCAAAACCCTCCGGAAAACCGGGATGATCCCAAAAATTCCCACCTCAATCTCCTCTCCCAGCACGTCCTCCTCGTTGGGCTCCTCCTCAGCTGGCAAAGAAAAACAGGGAAAGGTCAGGGCGGCAAAAATTCCTTGGGAATGGCAGGAAAATGAGGATTTTTCCCTTTTTTTAGGGGGGTGGAAATTCCAGCTGGGAATTTTGTGGGATCAGGGAATTTTGGGAGCACCCACCGTGCTCCTCCAGGTAGGCCTGGAGCCGGTGGATCAGGTCCTGCTTGTTGCCTTTGGCTTCCAGGCCCCGCGCCAGGCACTCCTGCTTCAGCTCGGCCAGCTGGGAACGGGAGAGAGGGGATTGGGGATTTAGGGGATTGAGGGGATTTAGGGGATGGATGGGGTGGGATGGGATGGATGGGATGGATGGGATGGATGGCATCCATGGGATGGGATGGGACTGATGAGATTGATGGATTTATGGGATTTAGGGAATGGGATGGGATGGGATTGATGGGATTGATGGGACTGATGGATTTATGGGATTTGTGGGATGGATGGGATGGATGGGATGGGGTGGGATGGGATTGATGGGACTGATGGATTTATGGGATTTGTGGGATTGATGGGATCCATGGGATGGGATGAGATGGGATCCACGGGATGGGATGGGGTGGGATGGGATTGATGGATTTATGGGATTTATGGGATGGGATGGGATGGGATGGGATGGGATGGGATGGGACGGGATGGGATCCATGGGATGGGATGGGATGGGATGGGATGGATGGGATGGGATCCATGGGATGGGATGGATGGGATGGGATCCATGGGATGGGATCCATGGGATGGGATCCATGGGATGGGATCCATGGGATGGGACGGGGCAGGATGGGATGGGATGGACGGGATGGATGGAATGGGATGGATGGAATGGGATGGACGGGACTGATGAGATTGATGGGATTGATGGATTTATGGGATTTGTGGGATTGATGGGATGGATGGGACGGGATGGGATGGGGTGGGATGGGAGGGGATGGGATGGATGGGATTTATGGGATTTATAGGATGGATGGGATGGGATGGGAGGGGATGGGGTGGGATGGGATGGGATGGATGGGATTTATGGGATGGGATGGGGTGGGATGGGATGGGATTTATGGGATGGGATGGGATGGGATTTATGGGATTGATGGGGTGGGATAGGATGGGAGGGGATGGGATGGATGGGATGGATAGGATGGGATGGGATGGGATCTGTGGAGTGGGGTGAGATGGGATGGGATGGATGGGATGGGATCCATGGGATGGGATGGGATGGGATCCATGGGATGGGATGGGATCCATGGGATGGGGTGGATGGGATGGGATCCATGGGATGGGGTGGGATGGGATGGGATGGGATGGGATGGGATGGGATGGGATGGACAGGATGGATGGGATTGATGGGATGGGATGGGATGGGATCCATGGGATGGGGTGGGATGGGATGGATGGGATGGGATGGGATGGACGGGATGGATGGGACTGATGGGATTGATGGGGTGGGATGGGATGGGATGGGATCCATGGGGTGGATCCCAGACCATTCCCAGGGCTCCCTCAGTCCCTCAGAGCCCCCTCAAGGCCCCTCCAGATCCCACCCAGGACCCCCTCAGATCCCCCTTCAAACCCCCTCAGGACCCCCACCCAGGACCCCCTCAGGGCCCCCCAGATCCCCCCTCCAGATCCCCCCCAGACCATTGCCAGGCCCCCCTCAGTCCCTCAGAGCTCCCCCAAGGCCCCTCCAGTTCCCACCCAGGACCCCCACCCAGGACCCCCTCAGATCCCCCTTCAAACCCCCTCAGGACCCCCACCCAGGACCCCCTCAGGGCCCCCCAGAGTCCCCTCCAGATCCCCCCCAGACCATTCCCAGGCCCCCCTCAGTCCCTCAGAGCCCCCTCAAGGCCCCTCCAGTTCCCACCCAGGACCCCCTCAGATTTCCCTTCAAACCCCCTCAGGACCCCCACTCTGGACCCCCTCAGATCCCCCTTCAAACCCCCTCAGGACCCTCACCTAGGACCCCCTCAGGGCCCCCCAGCTCCCCCCTCCAGATCCCCCCCAGACCATTCCCAGGGTCCCCTCAGAGCCCCCTCAAGGCCCCTCCAGATCCCACCCAGGACCCCCCTCCCAGGATCCCCTCAGGGCCCCCACCCAGGACTCCCTTGGAAATTCCCTGAGATTCCTCCAAATCCCCCTCAGGGCCCCTCAGAGCCCCCCAGGGCCCCCTCAGACCCTCCTGAGACCCCCAGGGCCCCCTATAGAACCCCCCCAGAACCCCTCAGGACTCCAGATCCCCCCCAGATCCCCCTCAGACCCTCCTAAGGGCCTCAGAGACCCTCAGAGCCCCCTCATGGCTCCCCCAAAGCCCCCGGCCCGTTTCCCGCCGTTTCCCCGTGCGCTCCCTCAGTCCCAGCCGCTGTCCCCGGGGCTGTCCCGCTCGCCGGGCTCTGTCCCCGCTGTCCCCACCGTTCGCCCGCGGTTTGCCCGGCCCCGTTCCCGCTCCCAGCGGCACCTTCAGCTTGTGCAGCTCCACCGGCTCCGCCGCCATCTTGACACCCCCCTCGCCGGCCCCGCCCCTCAGGCCGCTCCGACCAATCAGTGCCGCGCGTCCTCCGCCGCCCCGCCCAAACCCGCCGCTCGCCATTGGTCAGCGCTGACGGTAGCACCCGCCGGTGATTGGCCTGTCGGGCGCTGGGGGCGGGGAGATATTGACTGACGTGCAGACGAACCAATGGAAATAGGGAGATGCTGAACGGCGGCCAATGGAAAGAGAGGGCGGGAAACGCGGACTTCCGGGAGGTGTGGCCGAGACCAGAGCGGGGTCATTGAGGGACTCGGGCGTAATTAATTATTTTTAATTATCGCACTTCATTAAACTATTAATATTCCCAAAGAGGTAGATTTTATTATTTAACTCTTTGAGTCTCCAGAACAGCCCCTGTTTCCCGCAGCTACCGTGCCACAACTCCCCTTTATTAATAATTAAAATAACCTAATCAATTTAAATAATTAAACTAATTAAAATAACTTAAATAATCCCATTTATGGAGGTGTCGGCCGCCATGATGGGTGTGGCGACCGCCATTGATGTATTGAGGCCGCCATGATGGATGCGGCCGCCGCCATGATGGATATGGCGGCCGCCATGATGGATATGGCGGCCGCCATGATGGGAGTGGCCGCTTCTCCGTCAGGCCCGACCGTATCTCCGGACTAACCGGACACGCCTCCACCCCACGGGTCTGTCCCGGCTGCTCCGAACCCGACACAACCCCGGTAACGGCGCCTGAAACGCCGCCAGCGCGGCCCTGCCCACACTCAAGATGGCGCCACGCTCTGAGGCCACACCGGAACCCCCAACATGGCGGCGCCACTGTCGATGACGTCATTCTTTATCCGGCGCGGGCCGGAAGTGGCGCGGCCGGGAGCTCCCGGGGCTTTGGGGACACCGGCGGGGCCTTGGGGACCCCCAAATCGACCCCTATTTCCACCCCCCTTTTTTTTTATTTTTAACACAAAAACCACCACTCGATTTTCTTTAGAAAACACCAAAAAAAGGAAAAAAAATAGATTTTTTTTATTCCAAGCCCTTTTTTTTTTTTTTTTTTGTTTTTTTTGGGGGGGGTGGGAGTCTCCTCAGCGCGGCAGCGGCCGCCGCCCCTTCTTCCTCCTCTTGTGCTTTGTGTCCCCCCTGGGGGGACCCCCCTGGGGCTGGGGGGGTCCTTGGGGGGGTCCCGCAGCCCCGGGTGGGGCGGGGAAAGCCCCCCCGGCCTCTGGGCCTGGATTTCCTTGGAAAACGCGGGCCAGGAAATCCTGGAGGTCAGCGGGGGACGGGGGGCTGCCCTTGGGGGGGGCCCTGGGGGGAGAGAGAAAAGGGGTTGGGGCATGGCTGGATGTATCTGGGCATTCCCTGGATGTACCTGGGCACACCTGGGCACACCTGGATACCCCCTGGGCACTGCCTGGGCACAGCTGGATGTACCTGGGCACACCTGGATGTACCTGGACACCCCCTGGGCACTGCCTGGGCACACCTGGATGTACCTGGGCACACCTGGATGTACCTGGGCACACCTGGATGCACCTGGGCATTCCCTGGATGTACCTGGGCACACCTGGATGCACCTGGGCACAGCTGGATGTACCTGGGCACACCTGGATACACCTGGGCACAGCTGGATGCACCTGGGCACACCTGGGTACACCTGGGCATTCCCTGGATATACCTGGGCACACCTGGATGTACCTGGGTACCCCCTGGGCACTGCCTGGGCACAGCTGGATGCACCTGGGCACACCTGGATACACCTGGGCATTCCCTGGATGTACCTGGGCACACCTGGATGTACCTGGACACCCCCTGGGCACTGCCTGGGCACAGCTGGATGCACCTGGGCACACCTGGATACACCTGGGCATTCCCTGGATGTACCTGGGTACCCCCTGGGCACTGCCTGGGCACACCCTGGATGTACCTGGGCATTCCCTGGATGTACCTGGGCACACCCTGGATGTACCTGGGCACACCTGGATACACCTGGGCACACCTGGATGTACCTGGGCATTCCCTGGATGTACCTGGGCACACCTGGACATTCCCTGGGCACTCCTGGGCATCTTTGGAACCTCCTCCCCCAGGACTGACCGCTGGCATCCAGACCCTGGTCACCCTTGGGGACACCCCAGGACACCCTTGAGGACACCCCTGGACACCCCCAGGACTGACCACTGATGTCCAGCCCCTGGACACCCTTGGGGACACCCTTGGGGACACCCCAGGACACCCCCCCAGTACTGACCGCTGGCGTCCGGCCGGCGTGGCTGTCCTGGCACCGAAGGACAGGTGGTAGGGGACACGGTGGCTGTCCGGGGAGATGGCCACGCGCTGGCAGCCCGCCCACTCTGGGGACAGACAGGGGACACTCGGTCATGGTGGCACCAGTGATAGTCGTGGTGTCCCTTTGGGCATGGTGACACCAGAGAGGTCCCCAGGATGGTCATGGTGTCCCCTTGGTCATGGTGGCACCAGGGACACCCCAGGGATGGTCATGGTGACACCAGAGAGGTCCCCAGGATGGTGACACCAGAGACACCACCACGGTCATAGTGACCCCAGGGACATTTACACCCCAAAATATGGGCATAGTGTCCCCTTGGTCATGGTGACACCAGGGACACCCCATGGATGGTGACACCATGGACCCCGGGTCATGGTGTCCCCTGGTCATGATGACACCAGAGACCCCTGGGATGGGCATGGTGACACCAGAGTGACCTGGGCATGGTGTTCCCTTGGTCATGGTGACACCAGAGAGGTCCCCAGGATGGTGACACCAGACACCCCCAGAGATGGTCATGGTGTCCCCTTGGTCATGGTGGCACCAGAGAGGTCCCCAGGATGGTCATGGTGTCCCCTTGGTCATGGTGTCCCCTTGGTCATGGTGACACCAGAGTGACCTGGGCATGGTGTCCCCTTGGTCATGGTGACACCAGAGAGGTCCCCAGGATGGTCATGGTGTCCCCTGGTCATGGTGGCACCAGGGACACCCCAGGGATGGTCATGGTGACACTAGAGAGGTCCCCAGGATGGTGACACCAGAGAGGTCCCCAGGATGGTGACACCAGACATCCCCAGAGATGATCATGGTGTCCCCTTGGTCATGGTGACATCAGAGAGACCTTTGTGTTCATGGTGTCCCCTGGGATGGTGACACCAGAGGGACCCAGGGATGGTGACACCAGAGCCCCCTGGTCATGGTGTCCCCTGGCCATGGTGACCGCAGGGACCCGCTGGGATGTGTCCCCCCCCGTTCTGTGTGTGCCACCCCGGTGTCCCCTCACCGGTGACGTCGTAGATGTGGCCGTCCATGCGGGCCAGGTAGGTGACCTTGAGGCCCAGCAGGCTGGACTCTGCCCACAGGTCACCCTCTTCGGCCGCGTGCCACCCCCCGCACGGGCCACACCAGCGGCCACCGCGCGGGTCCCTGTCCAGCTGGAACCGCCTGTGGGGACATTGGGGACATTGGGGACATGGGGACACCCCCAGGGCACAGCACAGGGTCCCTGTCCAGCTGGAACCGCCTGTGGGGACATGGGGACATTGGGGACACTGGGGACATGGGGACATTGGGGACATTGGGGACATTGGGGACATTGGGGACATTGGGGACACGGGGACACTGGGGACATGGGGACATTGGGGACATTGGAGACACCCCCAGGGCACAGCAAAAGGGTCCCTGTCCAGCTGGAACCGCCTGTGGGGACACAGGGGACATTGGGGACATGGGGACACACTGGGGACACTGGGGACATTGGGGACATTGGGGACATTGGGGACATGGGGACACCCCCAGGGCACAGCACAGGGTCCCTGGCCAGCTGGAACCGCCTGTGGGGACACGGGGACATTGGGGACATTGGGGACACTGGGACACTGGGGACATAAGGACATTGGGGACATGGGGACATTGGGGACATTGGGACACTGGGACATTGGGGACATGGGGACATTGGGGACATTGGAGACACCCCCAGGGCACAGCAAAGGGTCCCTGTCCAGCTGGAACCGCCTGTGGGGACATGGGGACATTGGGGACATTGGGGACACTGGGGACACGGGGACACTGGGGACATTGGGGACATGAGGACATTGGGGACATTGGGGACATTGGGACACTGGGGACACGAAGACATTGGGGACATGGGGACATTGGGGACACCCCCAGGGCACAGCACAGGGTCCCTGTCCAGCTGGAACCGCCTGTGGGGACATTGGGGACATTGGGGACATTGGGGACACTGGGGACACCGCCAGGGCACAGCACAGGGTCCCTGTCCAGCTGGAACCGCCTGTGGGGACATTGGGGACATTGGGGACACGGGGACACTGGGGACACGGGGACATTGGGGACATTGGGGACATGGGGACACTGGGGACATTGGGGACATGGGGACACCCCCAGGGCACAGCACAGGGTCCCTGTCCAGCTGGAACCGCCTGTGGGGACATTGGGGACATTGGGGACACTGTGACATTCTCAGGGACATTGGGGACATTGGGGACACTGTGACACCCCCAGGGACATTGGGGATGCTGTGACACTCCCAGGGACATTGGGGACATTGAGGACACTGTGACACTCCCGGGGACATAGGGGACACTGTGACACCCCCAGGGACACGGTGAGACCCCCAGGACACGATGTCACCCCAACCTTCCAGGACATGGTGTCACCCAAGCCCTCCAGGACACGATGTCCCCCCCAGTGCTGTCCCCAGTGTCCCCATTGTCCCAGGTGTCCCCAGGGTGTCCCCACAGTGTCCCCACGGTGTCCCCACCTGTGCCGTCCCCCGCAGCGGGTGCAGCCCATGGCGTCCCCACTGCCCCACAGTGTCCCACAGTGTCCCCACAGTGTCCCAGGTGTCCCCACAGTGTCCCCACGGTGTCCCCACGGTGTCCCCACCTGTGGCGTCCCCCGCAGCGGGTGCAGCCCATGGCGTCCCCACTGCCCCACAGTGTCCCACAGTGTCCCCACAGTGTCCCAGGTGTCCCCAGGGTGTCCCCACAGTGTCCCCAGGGTGTCCCCACGGTGTCCCCAGGGTGTCCCCACCTGTGGCGTCCCCCGCAGCGGGTGCAGCCCATGGCTGTCCCACAGTGTCCTGCAGTGTCCCACAGTGTCCCAGGTGTCCCCACAGTGTCCCCAGGGTGTCCCCAGGGTGTCCCCAGGGTGTCCCCACCTGTGGCGTCCCCCGCAGCGGGTGCAGCCCATGGCGTCCATGGCGTCCCTGAGCTCCTCCTGCAGCCGGCCCAGGAACGCGCCCAGCGCCCGCGCCAGCTCCCCCTGCGCCAGCTGCTTCCTGCGACCCAAAAACGGGGAATTAGAGCCCAAAATATGGAAATTGGAACCCAAAAAATGGGATTGGCACCCCAAAAATGGGAATTATAACCCAAAAATTGGGATTTATACCAAAAAAATGGGAATGACAGCCCCAAAAATGCACCCAGCGCCCGCACCAGCTCCCCCTGCGCCAGCTGCTTCCTGCGACCCAAAAACGGGGAATTACAGCCCAAAATATGGAAATTGGAACCCAAAATATGGGATTGGAACCCAAAATATGGGATTGGCACCCTGAAAAATGGGATTTATACCAAAAAAATGGGATTTAAACCCCAAAATATTGGAATGACAGCCCCAGGAACGCGCCCAGCGCCCGCGCCAGCTCCCCCTGCGCCAGCTGCTTCCTGCGACCCAAAAACGGGGAATTAGAGCCCAAAATATGGAAATTGGAACCCAAAAAATGGGATTGGAACCCAAAATTTGGGATTGGCACCCTGAAAAATGGGATTGGCACCCTGAAAAATGGGATTTATACCAAAAAAATGGGATTTAAACCCCAAAATATGGGAATGACAGCCCCAGGAATGCGCCCAGCGCCCGCTCCCCCTGCTTCCTGCAACCCAAAATATGGGGAATTAGAGCCCAAAATATGGGAATTACAACCCAAAATTTGGGATTCCCACCCCAAAATTTGGGATTCCCACCCCAAAACCTGGGACTCCCACCCCAAAATTTGGGATTTCCACCACAAACCCCAGCATTCCTACCCCAAAACCTGGGATTTCCACCCCAAACTCACGCCTGGTACTCGCGACGCCTCTCGGGGCTGCTCACCCACTCCCACCCCAAACTATGAGATTTCCACCCCAAAACCTGGGATTCCCACCCCAAAATTTGGGATTTACACCACAAACCTCAGGATTTACACCCCAAAATTTGGGATTTCCACCCCAAAACCCGGGATTCCCACCCCAAACTTTGGCATTTCCGCCCCAAACTCACGCCTGGTACTCGCGCCGCCTCTCGGGGCTGCTCACCCGCTCCCAGCCCGCCCTCAGCACCTTGAACGCCGCCTCCGCCCGGGGGGTCGCGGCTTTTATCGGGGTGCACCTGCCGAGACACGGCCCTCGATGTCCCCAAAACGTCCCCAAAGCGTCCCCAGCCCTGCCGGGGCACGTCCCCAACACCCACCAGCACCGCCAGCCTCCGGTACGCCCTCCGCAGCTCGGTGTCCGTGGCCGTGGGCTCCACGCCGAGCACCCGGAACGGGTCCAGCTCCTCCTCGGCCACCTCGGCCATTGTCACCAAGCGCGTCACCTCCTCCTCGCTGTCGCCACCGCCACCTCCGCGGCTCGCCCGCCGCCGGAACCGCTCGCCCAGCAGCTCCCGGCAGCGGCGGAGCCCCGCGGAGGCGCCGCGGAGGAAGGAGCGGAGGAGGAGGAGGAGGAGGAAGAGCAGCGCCAGGAGAGCCCCGAGGAGGCGCAGGCAGAGCGCGACCCCCGCCCGGGCCACCCGCAGGGACCCTCGCTGTCCCCTGGCGGTGTCGCCGGGGTCGTCGCGGCGTTGTCGCCGGGGGGCGCCGGGGTCCTCCGGGGGTCGCCGGTGGCGGCAGCCGAGGCCGCACGGGAGGTCCCGGGAGGGGCTCGGGGGAGCGGCCGGGGGGCACCGGCAGCCGCAGCGACCCCCGGGGGAGGGGACACGGCCGGGGCTGGGGACACTCCTGGGGTTGGGGACACTGCCGGAGGTCCCGGGTTTGGGGACACTCTCAGGACCGGGGACAGTCCCAGAGTTGGGGACACTCCTGGAGCTGGGGACACTCCCGGGACCAGGGACACCCTCAGGGCTGGGGACATTCCTGGAGCCGAGGACACTTCCAGGGTTGGGGACACCCCAAGGACCAGGGATGCCACCAGAGCTGGTGACACCCTCAGGGTTGGGGACACTCCCAGTGTTAGGGACACCTTCAGGAGTGAGGACGCTCCCGGATTTGGGGACACCCTCAGGGTTGGGGACACTCCTGGGGGTCCCAGGTTTGGGGACATTCCTGGGGTTGGGGGCACCCTCGGGGGCACCCTCAGGGTTGGGGACACTCCCGGATTTGGGGACACCCTCAGGGCTGGGGACACCCTCAAGACCGGGGACATTCGTGGAGTTGGGGACACTCCCGGTGTTGGGGACAGTCCTGGAAATGGGGACACCCTCCGGGTTGGGGACACTCCCGGTGTTGGGGACACTGCTGGGGCTGGGGGCACTCTCAGGGACACCCTCAGGGTTGGGGACACCCCCGGTGTTGGGGACACTCCCGGGACCGCGCACGCCGCCAGCCCCGGGGACAGAAATGTCGCGCTCGCCGCTCTCGTCGTCCTCGCCCCCCGCCGTGCCGGTACCGGTGGCGCTGGTGGCACCGGTGGCATTGGGGGGGCGGCCGCAGGTCCCGTTCCAGGCGGCGCTGGGGCCCCCCCCGGGTCCGGGCCCGCTCCCCCCGGGCGCCGCCTCCCGGTACCGGGGCCGCTCCATCGCTCCGGGCTTAGGTCACGGCCATCCCTGGGACAGCGAGGGGAGAACGGGGTCAGGACCCCAGGGACCGGCACCGGACACCGCGGAGAGCCCCGGAGGGACCCCCGGAACGGCACCGGGACCCTCCAAAATGGACCCGAGACCCTCAGAACGGCCCCGGGACCCGAGGATCCCCCGATCAACCCCCGCGATGGCCCCGGTAACCCCGAAATCCGGTCCCGGGGACCTCCTGACCCCCCTGAACGGAACCGGGACCCCTGAACCGGCCCCAGGACCCCCCGGACGCTCGGAGTCCCGGTACCGGGGGGTTCGGGGGTGGTTCCGGGGGGTTCGGGACTCACCACGCCGGTACCGGGAGAATTTCGGGAGGTTCGGGACTCACCATGCCGGTACCGGGAGGGTTCGGGGGTGGTTTCGGGGCTGGTTCCGAGTGGTTTCGGGGGTGGTTCCGGGGGGGTTCGGGACTCACCACGCCGGTACCGGCGTGGGGTGGGGGGGGGGGGGTCGCGCCGCCGCCCCCCCCCGGGTCCCCTCACGGCCGCACTTCCGCTTTCCGCCCGCCGCCGCGCTGGCCACGCCCACTTCCGGGGTGGGGCAGCACGCGCGAGCGGCGCACTCCTTAAAAGGCAATGGCCGCGCCCCTTCATTGGCATAAGACTGTCCTTAACTGGACATGGCCACGCCCCTTAAAGTATTGACAACGCCCTTTAAATTTGCATAGCCACGCCCTTTAAATGGCTAGATGCACGCTTCTTAAAGGGGCAACGCTTCTTAAAGGGGCAATGCCGACGTCCCGTCACCGCGGTGGGGCCCAGCGCTCCCAGTTCCTCCTCCCAGTGCTCCCAGTTCCTCCCAGTGCTCCCAGTGACCCCTCCCAGTGCTCCCAGTGACCCCTCCCAGCGCTCCCAGTTCCTCCTCCCAGTGCTCCCAGTGCCCCCTCCCAGTGCTCCCAGTGACCCCTCCCAGTGCTCCCAGTTTCTCCCAGTGCCCCTTCCCAGTTCCCCCAGTTCCTCCTCCCAGTTCTCCCAGTCTGGGCCCTCTCCTGGCCCTCCCCCTCAATCCAGCCCCCCCAAAATCCCCCCCAAAATCCCCCCAAGGACCCCGACCCCCGTTGGGTCTCTGCTCTTTTATTCCTCCACCGCTCTGAAAAAATGAAAGCAAAAAAAAGACAAAAAAGAGAAAATTTGGGGAGGGGGCGGCGACACAGAGAGGGGGGAGGGGCACGGGGGGAGGGGGGCACGGCCCCGTTTTTGTGGTTTTTCACCCCATTTTTAAATCCCATTAAAAAGAGGGAGAGAAGTCGGGATGAAGGAGATGAAAAGAAAATCAAATGGAATAAAATTAGGGAAAAAAGGGGGGAAAATTAAATGAAATGAGGAAAAAAAAGAAAAAAATTAAAATAAAAATTGAAAAGAAGAAAACCAAACCAACCAAAAAAAAAAAAAAAGAAACAAAACAAGAAATAAACAAAAATAAATCAGTAAAATAAAATAATAAAATAAAAAACCAAAATAAAAAGAAAACAAAATAAAAATTAAATTAAAATAAAATAAACAAAAAAAAAGTGAAAAAAATTAAATTTTAAAAGAAAATAACAGAAAAATAACATCAAACAAAATAAAATAAAGCAAAATAAAATAAAGCAAAACAAAATGAAAATAAAATGAAGTAAAACAGAAGAAAGTAAAACAAAATAAAACAAAATAAGATCAAATAAAACAAAACAAATAAAGTAAAACAAAATAAAATGAAATGAAATAAAGTGAAATAAAATAAAATGAAACCAATATAAAATAAAATGAAACCAGAATAAAATCAAATGAAATAAAATGGAACAAAATGAAATAAAGTAAAATAAAATAAACTAAACAAAAATAAAATAAAACCAAGCAAAGTAAAACAAAATAAGACAAAAATAAAATGAAATGAAACCAAAATAAAATACAATGGAAGAAAATGGAAGAAAATGAAATCAAGTAAAATAAAATAAAGTAAAATAAAATGAAATAAAGTAAAATAAAATTTAATTAAATTAAAAGAAAACAAAATAGAATAAAAAGAAAGTAAAAAGAAAATAAAATAATAAAATTAAAAGAAAATAAAATAAAAAGGAAATAAAATTAAAAGAAAATTAAAAGAAAATTAAAAGAAAATAAAATAAAAAGAAAATGAAAGGAAATAAAATAAAATAAAATGAAATAAAATAAAAAGAAAATAAAAAGAAAATAAAATAAAAGGAAATAAAATAAAAAGAAAATAAAAAGAAAATAAAATAAAAGGAAATAAAATAAAAGGAAAAAGAAAATAAAAAGAAATAAAATAAAAGGAAATAAAATAAAAATAAAATAAAAGGAAATAAAATAAAAGGAAATAAAATAAAAATAAAATAAAATAAAATAAAAATAAAATAAAATAAAAATAAAATAAAATAAAATAAAAACAAAATAAAATAAAAATAAAATAAAAATAAAATAAAAATAAAATAAAACAAAATAAAAATAAAATAAAATAAAAATAAAATAAAATAAAAATAAAATAAAAACAAAATAAAAAAATAAAATAAAATAAAAATAAAATAAAACTAAAACAAAATAAAAAATCAAAACAAAATAAACCCCAAAATAAACCAAAAAAAAAACCGGAAAAAAACCCAAAAATAAATAAAAAAAACCATTTAAAAAATCAAAAAACAACCCCCAAACCCCTCCCCAACCCAACCCCAGCCCCATCACGAGTCCAGCTCCAGCGCCCTGAGTTCCTCCTCCAGCGCCCTCCTCCGGCCCAGCTTCTCCAGCTGCTCCCGGCTGGGCTCGGCCAGCGCCCCCCGCTCCAGCCGCAGCTGCAGCTCCTGCACCTGGCGCAGCTTCTTCCGCAGGCTCTTCATGCGCCGGCCCCGCTCCGCGCTGCCCCCGCCGCCCTCCGTGCCCGCCCCGTCCCCGCAATTGTTCCCCGAATTATTGGGATTATCGCCCGGGGTATTCCCGGAATTCCCGCCGGAATTGCCGTGGTTACTCCCGAAATTATTCCCAGGATTGCTCCTGAAATTCCCCCCGGAATTCCCGATGTTGCCGCCCAGATGATTGCCGGAATTATTGCCCGATTTAATCGCGGGGTTTTCGCCGGAATTCGCCGAATTCTTCCCGCAATCTGCTGAATTCTTGCTGGAATTCTTCCCAGAATCTGCTGAATTCTTGCTCGAGTTCTTCCCAGAATCTGCTGAATTCTTGCTGGAATTCTTCCCAGAATCTGCTGAATTCTTGCTCGAATTCTTCCCAGAATCTGCTGAATTCTTGCTGGAATTCTTCCCAGAATCTGCTGAATTCTTGCTGGAATTCTTCCCAGAATCTGCCGAATTCTTGCTGGAATTCTTCCCAGAATCTGCCGAACTCTTCCCGGAATTGCTGCTCGGATTCTTCCCCGAATCTCCAGGATTTTTCCCCGAATTCTTGCTGGAATTTTTCCCTGAATTCTTGCCGGAATTCCCGGGGTTTTCCACGTTTTTCTCCCCTCCCGCTGTCCCTCCTCCTCCATTGTCGCTGTCTCCTCCTCCTCCTCCTCCCAGCCCGATTTTTTCCAGCTCCTGGCTCAGTCCGTCCCCGTGGTTTTCCCGATCTTTTTCCTGCTGCTGTTTCCTTTTCTCTTTGCGTTTCAGGTTCCTTCGGGCGCTTTTGGATAAAGCTGGGGAGGGGTCGCAGCCCCCCTCGGGCCTCCCGGGGGTCCCTCGGCCCGGCGGGGAAGGGGCGGGCTCGGGGTTTAAACCCGGCGGGAGCTCGGGTTTGCTCCGGAAGAATTTCACGTATTTGTTCTCGTAGCTGGAGGCGGGACAGGAAAAAAGGGGAAAAAAATCAAAGTAAAAATGTTAAAAAATGGTCAGGGGGTTTTGGGGAGGGGCGTGGAGGGGTTTGGAGGGGTCTGGGGGGGTCCTGAGGGGGTTTGGGGGTAACAGGAGGGGTTTGGGGAGGGGTTTGGAGGGATCTGGGGGGGTCCTGAGGGGGTTTAAGGGTGACAGGAGGGGTTTGGGGGGGTCCTGGAGGGATCTGGGGGGTCCTGAGGGGGTTTGGGGGTAACAGGAGGGGTTTAGGGGGGTCCTGGAGGGGTTTGGGGGGCATCCAGGAGGGGTTTGGGGAGGTTCTGGAGGGGTCTGGGGGGTCCTGGAGGGTTCTGAGGGTAACAGGAGGGGTTTGGGGGGGTCCTGGAGGGGTCTGGGGGCATCCAGGAGGGGTTTGAGGGGGTCCTGAAGGGTTCTGAGAGTAACAGGAGGGGTTTGGGGGGGTTCTGGAGGGGTCTGGGGGCATCCAGGAGGAGTTTGGGGGGTTTGGGGGGGTCCTGGAGGGGATTTAATGGGTTTGGGGGGGGGTCCTGAAGGGGTCTGAGGAGCTCCTGGAGGGGTTTGAGGGGATCATGGATGGGTCTGGGGGCATCAAGGAAGGGATTTGAGGGGTTTAGGGGGGACAGAAGGGGTTTAGGGGGGTCCTGGAGGGGTTTGGGGGTGTCCTGCAGGGGTTATGGGGGGTCCAGAGGGGTATGGGGGGGACAGGAGGGAGTTTGGGGGGTCCTAGAGGGGTTTGGGAGGGTCCAGGAAGGGATTTGAGGGGTCTGGGAGGGGGGACAGGAGGGGTTTGGGGAGACCAAGGGAGGACCCAGAGCCAGGCCTGGGTGAGACCCAACCCCTCCCCACACCCTGGGGACACCCTGGGACCTCTCCCCACACCCTGGGGACCTCCTGGGACCTCCTGGGACCCCTCCCCACACCCTGGGGACCCCACCAGGACCCCTCCCCACACCCTGGGGACCCTCCAGGACCCCCTGGGACCCCTCCCCACACCCTGGGGACCCCACCAGGACCCTCCCCACACCCTGGGGACCTCCTGGGACCCCTCCCCACACCCTGGGGACCCCCTGGGACCCCCTGGGACCCCTCCCCACACCCTGAGACCCCCCAGGACCCTCTGGGACCCCTCCCCACACCCTGGGGACCCCCAGGACCCCCACTCACACAGGCACCTCCTCCTGGGGCACGTAGCCCTCCTTGACCCGGCGCTGCTTCCGCCAGGTCCCGTCCGGGCGCTGCGTGGAGGGGATGTACCTGCCTGGGGACAGCGTGGGGACACCATGGGGACACCGTGGGGACAGCTGGGGACATCATGGGGACAGCGCAGGGACACTGTCGGGACAGCTGGGGACAGTGCAGGGACACCGTGGGGACAGCTGGGGACACCATGGGGACAGCGCAGGGGACACTGGGGACAGCTGGGGACAGTGCAGGGACACCGTGGGGACAGCTGGGGACACCATGGGGACAGAGCAGGGACACTGGGGACAGCTGGGGACACCATAGAGACAGTGCAGGGACACCATAGGGACAGCCCCACAGACCACAGGGACTTTGGGACACCGTGGGGACAGTGCAGGGACATGGGGACACTGTGGGGACAGCTGGGGACAGCCCCACAGACACCACAGGGACTTGGGGACACTGCAGGGACATGGGGACAGCGTGGGGACACTGTGGGGACACCTGGGGACAGTGCAGGGACAGCCCCACAGACACCATGGGGACTTGGGGACACTGCAGGGACACTCAAGGAACACAGGGACAGCTGGGGACAGTGTGGGGACACCCCCACAGACACCAAGGGGACACCCTGGGGACACCATGGGGACACCCTGGGGACACCATGGGACATGGGAACATCCCCAAAGACATCGTGGGCATGTGGGGACATCCTGGGGACATGCAGGGACACCACGGGGAGACACGAGGACTCCCTGGGCCACCCTGGGGACACCCCTGGGGTCACCCACGGACACCAGGGGGACCCTGGGACACCCCCCCAAAATCCAACCCTCCCTCAGAGACCCCAAACCCCTCACGGGGACCCCAAACCCCTCCCGGGGATCCCCAAGACCCCTCCCCAAATACCCCGGGACACCCCCAGGCCCCTCACGGGGGTCCCAGGACCCCCCCCCAAAGCCCCTTTGGGTCCTTCCCGACCCCGAGACCCTCACGGGGGTCCCAAGACCGCCCCTCCCAGACTCCAAACCCCTCATGGGGACCCCAAAAACTTCACGGGCCCCTCCCCAAAACCCTCGGTCCCCCTCCCCTCACAACCCCCGGACTCCCCCCCCCCCCCCCAGGCCCCACACGGGGGTCCCGCCCCCTCCCCAAATCCAACTTCCCCCTGAGAGACCCCAGAACCCCAAACCCCCGAACCCCAAATCCCTCCCGGGAACCCCAAACCCCTCACGGAGACCACGAATCCTCCTCGGGGACCCCAAACCCCTCACGGACCCCTCCCCAAAACCCTCGGCCCCCCCCTCCCTCAGGCCCCTCACGGGGGTCTCGCCCCCCCCCCAATCCCCCCCTTTAGGCCCCTCCCGCCCCCGGAGGCCCCGCGCGGGTTTGGGGGGGGTCCCGGGGGTCTCGGGGCAGCCCCGGGAGGGTCCCGGAGCCCCCCCGGGCCGCAGGGCCCCCCTGCGCTCACCGGTCTCGTCCGTCACATAGGGCGTCGCCATCTTTGCGCGCGCGCCGCGGGGCCGCCCCGGAAGTGACGCAAAGGCGGCGGCGGAATTGGGGGCGTGGCCCAAAAGTGGGGGCGTGGCCAAAGAAGGGAGGGTTGGGCAAAACTGAGGCGTGGCCATATATGGGATATGGAAATTAGAGGGCGGGGCTAAGAACGGAAATGAGCTTCATTCATATGGTAATTAGAGGGCGCGGTTATAGAGCGGTATGTAAATAAGTGGGCGTGTTCATGCATAATATATAAGCCATATGGAAATTAAGGGGCGTGGACAATTATTTAAATAGGAAGTGTGGCCAGTAGTAGTTGAGGGGGCGTGACCGTTGGTGGATATGCAAATTAGAGGGCGCATCAAAAATTAATGACATTACTATGCAAACTAGAGGGCGTGGTCATTTGTGGATATGGAAATTATGAGGTGTGGCCACAGAATGTGTGCGGTCATTAACATATATGGAAATTGGAAGGTGTGGTCAAAATAAATATTTAATTATATTAAAATTAGGGGGCGTGGCTATTGTTTATATGTAAAACGTGTGGGCGTGGTCACGCAAGGGTGTGGCCATTAAGAAACCAAGAAAATGGAGGATTTGGTCAAAGAGATCTTTAATTAATATGTAAATTAGGGGGTGTGGTCACTCTTTTGGGAGCGGGGGTCTCTGGACAGAGGGACCCTGGGGGAGGGAGCTCAGGGCCCCCCCAGGACACCCCAAAACCCCCCAGGATCCCCCAAAATTCCCTCTTGGAACCTTCCAAGACCCCCCGAAATCCACTCAGGATGACCCCAGACCCCCCAAAACTCACCCAAAATCCCCCCAGACCCTCCTGGATCCCTTCAGAGCCCCCTAAAACCCCCTCGAGTCCCCCCCAGGTCATCTCTGGACCCCCTCAAAATCCCCCAAAACCCTCCCAGGACACCCCCAGGCACCCCCAAATCCCCTCAAACTCCCCTGGATTCCCTCAGAGCTCCCTAAACCACCCAGAAACCCCCCAAAATCCACCCAGACCCCCCCAAAATCCACCCAAGACCCCTCCAAAACCTCCCTGGATCTCCTCAGAGCCCCCTAAAACCACCCCAAAATCCCCCCAGACCCCTTCAGGATTTCCCCCAGATACCCCAAAATCCCCCAAAACCGCCCCCGGATCCCCTCAGACCCCCCCAAAACCACCCAAAACCCCCCCGAAAATCCACCCAGACCCCCCAAAATCCACCCAGAAACCCCCCAAAATCCACCCAAGACCCCTCCAAAACCTCCCTGGATCTCCTCAGAACCCCCCAAAACCACCCCAAAATCCCCCCAGACCCCTTCAGGATTTCCCCCAGATACCCCAAAATCCCCCCAAAATCCCCCAAAACCGCCCCCGGATCCCCTCAGACTTCCCAAAACCACCCAGAACCCCCCAAAAATCCATCCAGACCCCCCAAAATCCACCCAGAAACCCCCCAAAAATCCACCCAGAAACCCCCAAAATCCACCCAAGACCCCTCCAAAACCTCCCTGGATCTCCTCAGAGCCCCCTAAAACCACCCCAAAATCCCCCCAGACCCCTTCAGGATTTCCCCCAGATACCCCAAAATCCCCCAAAACCGCCCCCGGATCCCCTCAGACCTCCCCAAAACCACCCAAAACCCCCCGAAAATCCCCCCAAAACCCCTCCAGAACCCCCCAAAATCACACAGAGCCAGAGCCTGGGGCACTTGGCAGCTTTAATCCCGGTGTCACCAAGGCCACCGCGCCTGTCCCCAGCTGCGGGGGGGTTTTGTGGGGCCGTTTTTGGGGCGGGGGTCCCTAGACCGAGCGGCCCTGGAGGAGGGGGCTGCTCTCGCCGCTCGGGGCCGCCCCCAGGGCGCGCTGCAGCAGCCGCCGAACCGCGGGGACATTTGGGGACAGCCACGGCCGGGACCGGCCGGGAGGGGACGCCGGGGACAGCAACGGGGACTTGACTCGTCTGGGAGGGGACACGCGGTGTCACCGCCTGGCCGAGGGGCGTCCCCGATGTCCCCAACCCCACAGTGTCACCTCCTCCCCATTGGGAGTGTCCCCGATGTCCCCGACCCCATAATAACCCCATAAAAAGTGTCCCCAACCCTACAGTGTTCCCAACCCCATAGGGAGTGTCCCCAATGTCCCCCCAGTGTCCCCAATGTCCCCAGTGTCCCCTCAGTGTTCCCAATGTCCCAAATCTCCCCAATGTCCTCAGTGTCCCCCCAGTGTCCCCAATGTCCCCAATCCCCCCAATGTCCCCAGTGTCCCCAGTGTCCTCCCAGTGTCCCCAATGTCCCCCCAGTGTCCCCAATGTCCCCAGTGCCCCCCCACTGTCCCCAGTGTCCCTGATGTCCCCCCAATGTCCCCAATGTCCCCAATGTCCCCAATCCCCCCAGTGTCCCCAGCGTCCCCAATGTCCCCAGTGTCCCCCCAGTGTCCCCAGTGTCCCCCCAGTGTCCCCAGAGTCCCCAATCCCCCAATGTCCCCAGTGTCCCCCCAATGTCCCCAGTGTCCCCAGTGTCCCCCCAGTTTCCCTAATGTCCCCCCAGTGTCCCTAATGTCCCCAGTGTCCCCCCAGTGTCCCCAGTGTCCCCAATGTCCCCCCAGTGTCCCCAGTGTCCCCGATCCCCCCAATGTCCCCAGTGTCCCCAATGTCCCCCAGTGTCCCCATTGTCCCCAGTGTCCCTGATGTCACCCCAATGTCCCCAGTGTCCCCAGTGTCCCCAATCCCCCCAGTGTCCCCAGTGCCCCTGATCCCCCCAATGTCCCCAGTGTCCCCAATGTCCCCAGTGTCCCCAATCCCCCCAATGTCCCCAGTGTCCCCAATCCCCCCAGTGTCCCCCCAGTGTCCCCCCAGTGTCCCCAGTGTCCCCAATCCCCCCAGTGTCCCCCCAGTGTCCCCCCAGTGTCCCCCCAGTGTCCTCAATCCCCCGGTGTCCTCAATCCCCCCAGTGTCCCCATTGTCCCCAGTGTCCCCAATCCCCCCAATGTCCCCAGTGTCCCCCCAGTGTCCCCATTGTCTCCAGTGTCCCTGATGTCCCCCCAATCCCCCCAGTGTCCCCAGTGTCCCTGGTGTCCCCAATCCCCCAATGTCCCCAGTGTCCCCCCAGTGTCCCCAATGTCCCCAGTGTCCCCCCAGTGTCCCCAGTGTCCCCTCACCTGTAGGTGTACGCGGCCGTGCCCAGGGCGGCCGCCACCAGCACGAGTCCCACGAACAGCGTGGTGTGACCGCCGGCCGGGGCAGCTCCTGGGGACAGGGACAGCCCAGTGCCACCAGGGGACCTTGGGGACAGGCCCCTGCCCCTGTCCCTGTCACCTCTGGGACCAGGAACAGCCCAGCCCCACCCAGGGGACATTGGGGACATCCCCCTGCCCCTGTCCCCGTGTCGCACCTCCCACGGCCACGCGGGTGGTGGCCACGGCCAGGTGCCACCTCCTCCAAGCCAGGGACAGCTCAATCCCACCCAGGGGACCTCAGGGACCTTGTCCCCATGTCCCTGTCACTCCCCAGAGCTGGAACCACCCAAGGGACACCCGTAGACATCCCAGCCCCTGTCCCCATGTCCCTGTCACTCCCCAGAGCCAGAACCATCCAGAGGACCTTGGGGACATCCCAGCCTCTGTCCCCATGTCCCTGCCACTTCCTCCAGGCCATGGACAACCTGGCCCCATCCAGGGGACATTGGGGACATCCCCCTGCCCCTGTCCCCGTGTCCCTGCCACTTCCTCAGAACAGGAACCACCCAGGGGACCTTGGGGACATCCCAGGATCCTATCCCTGTGTCCCTGTCACTCCCCAGAACAGGAACAGCCCAGCCCCACCCAGGGGACATTGGGGACATCTCCTGGCCCTGTCCTTCTGCCCCTGTCACCTCCGGCAGGGCTGGGACAGCTCAGTGCCACCAGGGGTGCTTGGGGACATCCCCGGTCCCTGTCCCTGTCACTCCCTGGTGCAAGAACCGCCCAGTGCCACCCAGGGGACCCTCAGGGACTCTGTCCCTGTGTCCCTGTCACTCCCCAGCGCCGGAACCGTCCAGAGGACCTTGGGGACATCCCAGCCTCTGTCCCCATGTCCCTTCCACTTCCTCGGAACAGGAACCGCCCAGCCCCACCCAAGGGACACCCGTGGACATCCCAGCCCCTGTCCCTGTCACCTGCAGGACCAGGAACCGCCCAGCCCCACCCAGGGGACCTTGGGGACCCTTTTCCCCCTATCCCTGCCACGTCCTCGGAACAGGAACCACCCAGGGGACCTTGGGGACATCCCCCGGCCCTGTCCCCGTGTCCCTGTCACTTCCCCAGAGCTGGAACCACCCAAGGGACACCCGTGGACATCCCAGGACCCTGTCCCTGTCACCTCCAGGACCAGGAACCGCCCAGCCCTGCCCAGGGGACCTTGGGGACATCCCCGGGCCCTGTCCCCGTGTCCCTGTCACTTCCTCAGAACAGGAACCACCCAGGGGACCTTGGGGACCCTTTTCCCCCTGTCCCTGTCACTCCTCAGAGCAGGAACCGCCCAGCCCCACCCAGGGGACCTTGGGGACCCTTTTCCCCCTGTCCCTGTCACCTGCAGGACCAGGAACCTCCCAGCCCCTCCCAGGGGACCCTGGGGACACCCCCCGGCCCTGTCCCCGTGTCGCACCTCCCACGGCCACGCGGGTGGTGGCCACGGCCAGCCCGTTGCCGTTGGCCAGGGACACGTTGAGGCAGAAGAGGCCGCTGCGGTTGAAGTCCTGGCGCAGCACGAGCTCGCAGCCGGGCGGCGACGGCGACACCGCCGAGCACGACTCCGCCTCCGCCGTGCGACACTCGGCGTCCGCCACCACCGTGCACACCTCCGAGGGCACCCTGCGGCCGCGCCGCCGTCGGTTTGGGGGCGTTTGGGGCCGGTTTGGGGCCGTTTTGGGGCCATTTTTGGGGGGTTTTGGGGCCGTTTAGGGGGATTTGGGGCCAGTTTTGGGACCGGTTTTAGGGCTTTGCGGGGGATTTGGGATCGTTTTTGAGGATTTGGGACAGTTTTGGGGGGTTGGGGGCAGTTTTGGGGGGATTTGGAGCCGTTTTGGGGCCGTTTTTTGGGGCTTTAGGGGCCATCTAAGGGGATCTGGGGCCATTTTTGGGACCGGTTTTGGGGCTTTGGGGGGGATTTAGGATCGTTTTTGAGGCTTTGGGGGGGATTTGGGACAGTTTTGGGGGTTGGGGGCAGTTTTGGGGGGATTTGGGGCCGGTTTTGGGCCGTTTTGGGGCAGTTTCTGGGGGGTTTAGGGGCCATCTAAGGGGATCTGGGGCCATTTTTGGGACCGGTTTTGGGGCTTTGGGGGGGGATTTGGGATCGTTTTTGAGGCTTTGGGGGGGATTTGGGACAGTTTTGGGGGTTGGGGGCAGTTTTGGGGGGATTTGGGGCCGTTTTGGGGCCATTTTTCGGCCGTTTTTGGGCCATTTTTGGGCCGTTTTGGGGCCATTTAGGGGGATTTGGGGCCATTTTTGGGCCCGGTTTTGGGGGGTTTGGGGGCAGTTTTGGGGAGGATTTGGGATCGGTTTTGAGGATTTAGGGGGGTTTTGGGGCCGTTTTGGGGGGGTTTGGGACAGTTTTGGGGGGACTTGGGGTCGGTTTTGGGGATTTGAGGCCATTTTGGGGGCATGGAGGGGGATTTGGGGTCGTTTTGGGACTGTTTTTGGGGGGGATTTGGGGTCATTTTTGGGGCCGTTTTGGGGGTCGGTTTTGAGGATTTCAGGTGGTTTGGGGGCCATTTTGGGGGCATTAGGGATAATTTTGGGATCTGGAGCTGTTTTGAGGGGTTCTAGGGTCGTTTCTGGGGGGATTTGGGGTCATTTATGGGAACTTTTTGGGGGGTTTGGGGGCAGTTTTTGGGGGGATTTGGGGTCATTTTCGGGCCCGGTTTTGAGGGGGTTTTGGGGCAGTTTTTGGGGGGATTTGGGGTCATTTATGGGAACTTTTTCGGGGGTTTGGGGGCAGTTTTTGGGGGGATTTGGGGTCATTTTCGGGCCCGGTTTTGAGGGGGTTTGGGGGCAGTTTTTGGGGGGATTTGGGGTCATTTATGGGAACTTTTTCGGGGGTTTGGGGGCAGTTTTTGGGGGGATTTGGGGTCATTTATGGGAACTTTTTGGGGGGTTTGGGGGCAGTTTTTGGGGGGATTTGGGGTCAGTTTTGGGCCCGGCTTTTTGGCGCTTTGGGTGGCATTTTTTGGGGGCGGTTTGGGATCACTTTGAGGATTTGTGGGTGCCGTCCCCTCCCTTGTCCCCACTCACCCTCCCTCGCACGTCACCGTCAGCTCCACGCTGCTGCCGCCGCCGCCCTCGGGCACCACCTGCACGATGGCCACGCTCTCGATGCCCTCTGGGGAGGGGCCAGGGGGGGTCAGCGGGGTGGGGAAGCCCCGGTTGGACCCTCGGGGACCCCCCCGGGACCCCCAGATCCCCCCGGGACCCCCGACTCACGGACGATGTCCAGCTGGGTGGCGAAGGTGCCGTAGCGGTACAGGACACAGGGCACGTCCCCGAGCGGCGCCTGGCGCTTCACCAGGGCCAGGGGCTGGGCTGTGGTGCCAGATGTGGCTCCAGATGTGGCTCCAGCTGTGGCGCCAGCTGTGGCGGCGGCCAGGGACACAGCGGTGGCTCCCACGGTGGCTTCTATGGTGGCATCTGCGGTGGCAGCGAGTGTGGCCGCAGCGGTGGCAGCGAGGGCGGATCCAGCTGTGGCCGCTCCAGCTGTGGCCGCTCCAGCTGTGGCCGCAGCAGCTGTGACGTCACCCGCGCCTCCGTCTGTCGCCGCACCTGCAGGGACACACGGGAAACGCTGGGCGGGGACAAGGGGACAGCAGAGCCCTCGGGGACATCCCCGATGTGTCCCCAGCCCCGGGCCGGGCCAGCACCCACCTGCAGCCGCTGTCGCTTCCACCGAGGCGACAGAGGGGACAGAGGTGGCCCCGGCCGCGCTGGCGACAGAGGGGGACACGGAGGAGGCGACGGGCGCGGTGCCGGCGGCGGCGGAGGGGACCGAGAGCTCGGTGACAGCGACCGCAGAGGGCGCGGTGGCGGCGGGACCGGTGACAGCGGGGACAGCGGGACCGGTGACAGCGGGGACAGAAGGGTCGGTGACAGCGGGGACAGCGGGGTCGGTGACAACGGGGACAGAGGGATCGGTGACATCGGGGACAGAAGGGTCGGTGACAGCCGGGTCCGAGGGCTCCACTGCCGAGCCCCCCGTGGGCTCCGCCGGCTCCCCAGAGGCTGCGGGGGCTGTGGGGAGAGCGGGGCTGGGGTCACCACCGGGACCCCCCGATTCCGGGCTGGGGTCACCCGGGACCCCCCCAGAGCTGGGGTCACCCTCGGGACCCCCCAGTTCCGGGCTGGGGTCACCCGGGACCCCCCAGTTCTGGGCTGGGGTCACCCCCGGGACTCCCCGATTCCGGGCTGGGGTCACCTCTGGTATGGAACCCCCCCCTCCCCGGGACCCCCCGATTCCGGGCTGGGGTCACCCGGGACCCCCCCAGCTCCATTGTCCAGGATGCTCCGCGTCCCCTCAGGTGACATTGGGGGGACACAAGGTGGGCTGGGGGGATCTGGGGGCTCTGTGGGGTGGGGGGGGGACATTGAGGACACAAATTATGGGGTGGGGTGGCTCTGAGGTGTGGAGGGACATTGAGGACACTGAGTCTGGTGTGGGGGGACATTGGGGACACATTCTATGGACTGTGGTGGCTCTGAGGGGTGAGGGGACATTGGGGACACTGAGTCTGGTGTGGGGGGACATTTGGGACACTCACTATGGATTGTGGTGGCTCTGGGGGGATGAGGGGACCCTGGGGACACACGTTCTGTCATGGGGTGGCTCTGAGGGGCTGGGGGGACATTGGGGACACTGAGTCTGGTGTCGGGGGACATTGGGGACACTCACTATGGACTGTGGTGGCTCTGAGGGGCTGGGGGGACACTGGGGACACTCAGTATGGGGTGAGGGGACATTGGGGACACTCACTATGGACTGTGGTGGCTCTGAGGGGATGAGGGGACATTGAGGACACAAATTATGGGGTGGGGTGGCTCTGGGGGGTTGAGGGGACCCTGGGGACACACGTTCTGTCATGGGGTGGCTCTGAGGGGCTGGGGGGACATTGGGGACACTCAGTATTGGGTGAGGGGACATTGGGGACACTCACTATGGACTGTGGTGGCTCTGAGGGGATGAGGGGACATTGGGGACACTCACTATGGACTGTGGTGGCTCTGTAGGGCTGGGGGGACCCTGGGGACACTCACTATGGACTGTGGTGGCTCTGAGGGGCTGGGGGGACACTGGGGACACTCACTATGGACTGTGGTGGCTCTGAGGGGCTGGGGGGACCCTGGGGACACACGTTCTGTCATGGGGTGGCTCTGAGGGGCTGGGGGGACATTGGGGACACTCAGTCTGGTGTGGGGGGACATTTGGGACACACATTATGGACTGTGGTGGCTCTGAGGGGATGAGGGGACATTGGGGACACACATTATGAACTCTGGTGGCTCTGAGGGGCTGGGGTGCCACCAGGGCGCCACCAACCAGGGCTGTGCCAGCACCAGCCCGTCCCGCAGCCCGCGGTGACACCGCCCCCCCCGGTCCCGCTGTCCTTACCGGTGCTGGCGGCCGGCACCGTGCTCTGCGCGCCGGCGGTGGCGGCGGTGGTGGCCGCGGGCTCGGTGCCCGCCCCGGTGGTGGCGGCGGCGGGGGCCGTGCTGGGCCCGCAGGGGCTGAGCGGGATGGCGGCCTGGAGCACCAGGCGGGCCGAGAAGGTGCCGCTGTCGCGATAGGTGTGGGTGACGGTGGCGCTGCGCGAGATGAGGGTCCCGCTCTGGTCCCCGAAGTCCCACGAGTAGGAGATGTCGGCGTGGCGCAGGTACCGGCTCGGGTCGTGCAGCCGCACCGCGAACGCCACCGCGCGGTTCCGCACGAAGCGACCGCCCCCGGTCACCGCCGCCGCCGCCGCCGGGTCCTGCAGCTGCGACACCGCCACCGACAGCGGGACCTGGTCTGCGGGGACAGCGCGGGGACGCCGTGAGGATGGGGACAGCGTGGGGACAGCGCGGGGACAGCGTGGGGACACGGTGAGGGTGGGGACAGCGTGGGGACAGCGCGGGGACAGCGTGGGGACAGCGTGGGGACAGCGCGGGGACAGCGCGGGGACACGGTGAGGGTGGGGACAGTGTGGGGACAGCGCGGGGACAGCGTGTGGACACGGTGAGGGTGGGGACAGCGCGGGGACAACGCGGGGACACGGTGAGGGTGGGGACAGCACGGGGACAGTGTGGGGACACGGTGAGGGTGGGGACAGCGTGGGGACAGCGTGGGGACGCGGTGACGGTGGGGACAGTGTGGGGACAGCGCGGGGACAGCGCAGGGACACAGTGAGGGTGGGGACAGCGCAGGGACACGGCGAGGATGGGGGGACAGTTGGGGACAGCACGGGGACACGCAGAGGGTGGGGACAGCGTGGGGACAGCGTGGGGACACGGTGAGGGTGGGGGGACAGTTGGGGACAGTGTGGGGACACGGTGAGGGTGGGGACAGCGTGGGGACACGGTGAGGGTGGGGGGACAGCGTGGGGACACGGTGAGGGTGTGAGGGAGGACAGTGTGGGGACAGCACAGGGACACGGTGAGGGTGGGGACACAACGTGGGGACAGCGTGGGGACAACGTGGGGACAACGTGGGGACACGGTGAGGGTGGGGACAGCGTGGGGACAGCATGGGGACAGTGTGGGGACAGGCAGTGGAGTGATTGGGAGATGGGAGTGGTGGCGTGTGGTGTCACCTGTGCACGGTGTCACCTGCAGCCAGAGTCACCTACAGCCAGAGTCACCTGTGCCCAGTGTCACCTATAGCCAGTGTCACCTGCACTGTCACCTACAGTCAGTGTCACCTGTGCCCAGTGTCACCTACAGCCAGTGTCACCTGTACTCTCTGTCACCTGCACCCAGTGTCACCCACACCCAGTGTCACCAGCACCCCCACGCCAAACCCCCAGCCCCATTTCCCACCCCACACCCCCACCCTGTGCCCCCCGGTGTCCCCTCGGTGTCACCCACCGGTGACACTGAACTGGCTGCTGCCGTGGCCGATGGGGACGAATTTCTGCCGGCCCCGGGCGTGGTACACGGTGACCTCCATGGTGTAGGAGCCCAGTGCCACCCCCTGAGTGTCCACTGTGAGCTGTGACACCGGCCCGTCCAGCACCTGCCAGTACCGCCCTGGGGACAACAGTGCCACCATGGGGACAGTGCCACCACCATGGGGACAGTGCCACCATGAGCTGTGACACCAGCCCGTCCAGCACCTGCCTGTACCGCCCTGGGGACAGTGGGGACAATGGGGACAATTGGGACAGTGACACCATGGGGACAGTGCCACCACAGCAGGGACAGTGCCACCACCATGGGGACAGTGCCACCATGGGGACATCCCACCCTGAGTCCATCCAGGACCTGCCAGTACCGCCCTGGGGACAGTGGGGACAATGGGGACAGTGCCACCACAGCGGGGACAATGCCAACATAGCGGGGACAGTGCCACCATGAGGACAGTGCCACCACCATGGGGACAGTGCCACCATGGGAACAGCGGGGACAGTGCCACCATAGTGGGCTCAGTGCCACCACAGCAGGATCGGTGGCACCGCAGTGGGCTCAGTGCCACCAAAATGGGGACAGTGGCACCACAGTGGGGTCGGTGGCACCAAAATGGGGACAGTGCCACCACAGCATGGTGAGTGCCACCACGGTGGGCTCAGTGTCACCACAGCAGGGCCATTTGCACCTCAGTGGGGTCAGTGCCACCACAGCGGGGTTGGTGCCACCCTGGGGCCAGCAGTGCCACCCTCACTCACCCCATGTCCACCAGACGTAGACGAATTTTCCCCGCCGGCCCTGGGGCAGGGGGGGTCCCGTCCGGGAAGGTCCCGGTGGCGTCCGGCTGCTCCGGGAACACCGGGTCCCCCTGGGTCACCTGCGTGCCTGTGGGGACAGCGGGGACACCACGGGGACATCAGAGGGACACCGGGTCCCCCTGGGTCACCTGCGTGCCTGCGGGGACAGCGGGGACACCACGGGGACATCAGGGGTCAGGGGACATAGGGGACACTGTGAGGACACCACGGGGACATCAGGGGTCAGGGGACATTGGGGACACTGTGAGGACACCACGGGGACATCAGAGGGACACCGGGTCCCCCTGTGCCACCTGCATGCCTGCGGGGACAGCGGGGACACCACGGGGACATCAGGGGTCAGGGGACATAGGGGACACTGTGAGGACATCAGGGGTCAGGGGACATCGGGGACACCGTGGGGACAACACAGGGACAGCGGGGCTCAGGGGACACTGGGGATACCATGGAGACACTGGGGTCAGGGGACATTGGGGACATCGTGGGGACACCGGGGAGACACCGGGTCCCCCTGTGCCACCTGTGTGCCTGTGGGGACACCGAGGACACCACAGGGACATCAGAGGGACACCGGGGACACCAGGGGTGAGGGGACATTGGGGACACCAGGGACACCATGGGGTGAGAGGACACCATGGGGATACCAGGGATGAGGGGACATTGGGGACACCAGGGACACCATGGGGTGAGGGGACACCATGGGGACACCAGGGACACCATGGGGACACCAGGGATGAGGGGACATTGGGGATAACGTGGGGACACCGGGGCTCAGGGGACATTGGGGACACCAGGGACACCATGGGGTGAGGGGACACCATGGGGACACCGTGGGGACGCTGAGGGGACACTGAGGTTTTGGGATAGTTTAAGGGTGGTTTTAGGGTGGTTTTGAGGAGTTTGGGGTGGTCTGGGATTGTTTTGGGGTAGTTTTGGAGGTTTATGGGGTTTCAGGGTGGTTTGGGATGGTTTTGGGATGGTTTCGGGGTGGTTTGGGATGGTTTTGGGGTTGGTTTGGGGTGGTTTGGGTGGTTTTGGGGTTGGTTTGGGGTAGTTTTGGGTTGTTTCAGGGTGGTTTTTGGGTAGTTTCAGGGTGGTTTTGGGTTAGTTTTGGTGTGGTTTTGGGGTAGTTTCAGGGTAGTTTTGAAAATTTAAGGGGTTTGGGGGTTGGTTTGAGGTGGTTTCAGGGTGGTTTTGGAGATTGAAGGGGTTTGGGGTGGTTTCAGGGTAGTTCCAGGGTGGTTTTGGGTTAATTTTGGGTTGTTTCAGGATGGTTTTGGGTTGTTTCAGGATGGTTTCGGGTTGGTTTTGGGTTGTTTCGGGATGGTTTTGGGTAGTTCCAGGGTGGTTTTGGGTTAGTTTTGGGTTGTTTCAGGGTGATTTTGGGTTGGTTTTAGGGGTAGTTTCAGGATGGTTTTGGGTTAGTTTTAGGGGTAGTTTCAGGATGGTTTTGGGTTAGTTTTAGGGGTAGTTTCAGGATGGTTTTGGGTTAGTTTTGGGTTGTTTCAGGATGGTTCTAGGGTGGTGTTGGGGTGGTTTTGGGTAATTCCAGGGTGGTTTTGGGTTAGTTCTGGGTCGTTTCAGGATGGTTTCGGGTTGGTTTGGGGTTGTTTCAGGGTTGTTTCAGGTTAGTTCAGGGTAGTTCCAGGGTGGTTTTGGGTTAGTTCTGGGTTGTTTCGGGATGGTTTTGGGTTGGTTTTGGGTTGTTTCAGGGTAGTTCCAGGGTGGTTCCGGGCGTCTCGGGGCTCTCAGACCGTTGACGGTGCAGTTCTGCCCCCAGACCACGCGGCCGTCGGGCAGCGCCCGCTGGGTGCCGGGCAGGCGCAGGGCGATGGAGAACGTGGCCTGGGCACCCGCCAGCGTCGGCGCGTCGTTGCTGATGTCGAAGGTGACATCGCCACCTGTGCGGGGACAGCAGCGCGGAGGGGTCGGTGACACGGCCAGACCTCCCCGGTGACAGGGCCAGAGCTCCCCGGTGACAGGGCCAGACCCCCCCGGTGACACGGCCAGACCCCACTGGTGACAGGGCCAGACCCCCCCAGTGACAGGGCCAGACCCCCCCGGTGACAGGGCCAGACCCCACTGGTGACAGGGCCAGACCCCCCCGGTGACAGGGCCAGACCCCACTGGTGACAGGGCCAGACCCCCCTGGTGACAGGGCCAGACCCCACTGGTGACACAGCCAGCCCAGGGGGGTGACAGAGCCAGCCCAGGTGGGTGACACGGCCTGGCCAGGGGGATGACACGGTCACTGTGGGTGGGTGACACGGCCAGGCCAGGTGGGTGACACAGTCTGGGTGGGTGACAGAGCCAGCCCAGGGGGGTGACAGAGCCAGCCCAGGGAGGTGACAGAGCCAACCCGGGTGGTAACAGAGCCAGCCCAGGTGGGTGACAGAGCCATCGCAGGGCAGTGACCCGGCCCCTCGGGGGTGACACGGTCTGGGTGGGTGACAGAGCCATCCCGGGTGGGTGACAGAGCCATCCCAGGGCGGTGACAGAGCCATCCCAGGAGGTGACCCGGCCCCTCGGGGGTGACACGGCCCGGGTGGGTGACAGAGCCATCCCGGGTGGGTGACAGAGCCATCCCAGGGCAGTGACAGAGCCATCCCGGGCGGTGACAAAGCCATCCCAGGTGGGTGACAGAGCCATCGCAGGAGGTGACCCGGCCCCTCGGGGGTGACAGAGCCATCCCAGGTGGGTGACAGAGCCATCCCGGGTGGGTGACAGAGCCATCCCAGGAGGTGACAGAGCCATCCCAGGGCAGTGACAGAGCCATCCCAGGAGGTGACAGAGCCATCCCAGGAGGTGACCCGGCCCCTCGGGGGTGACACGGCCAGCCCAGGGCGGTGACAGAGCCATCCCGGGTGGGTGACAGAGCCATCCCAGGAGGTGACCCGGCCCCTGGGGGTGGCGCTCACCTCTCCAGCAGTCGCGGCTGTCGCGCTGCTGCCAGGGCGGGTACAGCGCCGAGTCCCAGGCGCCGAACGGCCCCGGCCGCCCGCTCCAGGCCGGGCTCCGCCCGCGGCTCCGGCCCCGCCCGGGGGCTCCTGCGGGGACAGCGACAGCGACAGCGGCATCAGGGACAGCGGCACCGCGGGGCCCCGTGTCCCCCGTTTTCGGGGGGCTGTGAAGTCCCCGTGTCCCCCATTGTTGGGGAACGTCGTGTCCCTATTCTCAGGGGGATGAAGGGTCCCATCTGTCCCCCGTGTCCCCATTTCAGGGGTTTGTCATGTCCCCCGTGTCCCCCATTTCAGGGGTTTGTCATGTCCCCCATGTCCCCCATTTCAGGGGTTTGTCACGTCCCCTGTGTCCCCATTTCAGGGATTTGTCATGTCCCCCATGTCCCCCATTTCAGGGGTTTGTCACGTCCCCCGTGTCCCCCATTTCAGGGGTTTGTCACATCCCCTGTGTCCCCATTATCAGGGGTTTGTCATGTCCCCCATGTCCCCCATTTCAGGGGTTTGTCACGTCCCCTGTGTCCCCATTTCAGGGGTTTGTCGTGTCCCCCATGTCCCCATTATCAGGGGAGATCAGAGGTCCCACATGTCCCCTGTGTCCCCCATTCTCAAGGGTTGTCATGTCCCCCCATGTCCCCCCATTTTTGGGGAACGTCGTGTCCCTATTCTCAGGGCATGAAGGGTCCCACATGTCCCCCCATGTCCCCTATTTTTGGGGGCTGTCGGGTCCCACACGTCCCCATTGTCCCCCACTCCCAGGACACCTCCATGTCCCCAGTGTCCCCAATGTCCCCAATGTCCCCAACTCTCAGTGGTCAGTGAGGTCCCCAATGTCCCCAATTCTCAGGACATTGCCACACCCCCCATGTCCCCAATGTCCCCCATTTCCCCCCTCCCAGGCCCCCCATGTCCCCAGCTCTCGGTGGTCAGTGAGGTCCCAATGTCCCCAATGTCCCCCACTCCCAGGACACCCCCATGTCCCCAATGTCCCCAATGTCCCCCACTCCCAGGACACTCCCATGTCCCTCGTGTCCCCAACTCTGGGGGCTCAGTGAGGTCCCCAGCGTCCCCCAAGTGTCCCCCACATCTCCCCTCTGCCACCCCCACCCCTGGGGCGTCCTCCCGACCCTGGGGGGACCCGGGGGGGACCCGGGGGGGACCCGGGGGGGACCCGGGGCCCTCGTGACGGGGCTCGGGCCAAGCCACGCGCGGGCAAAGCCGTCACATGGGCCCAAAGCTGCTGCATGTGACGCTCAGCTGAGCCGGAGGGACGGGACGGGAGGGACGGGAGGGACGGGACCACCATGGGGTCGGGGGGCTGCAGAGGCCCCCAAGTGTGAGGGGGCTGCAGATTCACCCCAGTTTCGGGGGGCAGCAAATTCACCCCAGTTTCGGGGGGCAGCAAATTCACCCCAGTTTCGGGGGGCTGCAAATTCCCCCAAGTGCGAGGGGCAGCAAATTCACCCCAATGTCGGGGGCTGCAAATTCCTCCCAGTTTCAGGGGCTGCAAATTCATCCCAATGTCGGGGGGCCGCAAATTCCTCCCAGTTTCGGGGGCTGCAAATTCACCCCAGTTTCGGGGGGCTGCAAATTCACCCCAGTGTGAGGGGCTGCAGATTCACCCCAATGTCGGGGGCTGCAAATTCATCCCAATTTCGGGAAGCCACAAATTCCTCCCAGTTTCGGGGGCTGCAAATTCCTCCCAGTTATGAGGGCAGCAAATTCATCCCAATGTCGGGGGCAGCAAATTCATCCCAGTTACGGGGGGCTGCAAATTCACCCCAGTTTTGGGGGCTCCAAATTCTCCCCAGTTTTGGGGGGCCGCAAATTCACCCCAATGTCGGGGGGCTGTAAATTCCTCCCAGTTTCAGGGGGCTGCAAATTCCCCCAAGTATGAGGGGCTGCAAATTCACCCCAATGTCGGGGGCTGCAAATTCATCCCAATTTCGGGAAGCCACAAATTCCTCCCAGTTTCGGGGGCTGCAAATTCCTCCCAGTTATGAGGGCAGCAAATTCATCCCAATGTCGGGGGGCTGCAGATTCCTCCCAGTTTCGGGGGGCTGCAAATTCACCCCAGTGTGAGGGGCTGCAGATTCACCCCAATGTCGGGGGCTGCAAATTCATCCCAGTTTTGGGGGGCTGCAAATTCACCCCAGTTTTGGCGGCTCCAAATTCTCCCCAGTTTTGGGGGGCCGCAAATTCACCCCAATGTCGGGGGGCTGTAAATTCCTCCCAGTTTCAGGGGGCTGCAAATTCCCCCAAGTATGAGGGGCTGCAAATTCACCCCAATGCCGGGGGCTGTAAATTCACCCCAGTTTTGGGGGGCTGCGAGTTCATCCCAATGTCGGGGGCTGCAAATTCCCCCAAGTGTGAGAGGCTGCAAATTCCTCCCAGTTTCGGGGGCTGCAAATTCCTCCCAGTTTCGGGGGCTGCAGATTCATCCCAATGTCGGGGGCTGCAAATTCATCCCAATTTCGGGGGGCTGCAAATTCCCCCAAGTGTGAGGGGCTGCAAATTCATCCCAATTTCGGGAAGCCACAAATTCCTCCCAGTTTCAGGGGCTGCAAATTCCTCCCAGTTATGAGGGCAGCAAATTCACCCCAATGTCGGGGGACTGCAGATTCCCCCCAGTTTCGGGGGGGCAGCAAATTCACCCCAGTTACGGGGGCTGCAAATTCCCCCCAGTTTTGGGGGGCTGCGAATTCATCCCAATGTTGGGGGGCTGCAGATTCACCCCAGTTTCGGGGAGCCCCAAATTCCTCCCAGTTTCGGGGCTGCAAATTCCTCCCAGTTTTGGGGGGCCACAAATTCCCCCCAGTTTCGGGGGGCTGCAGAGTCCCCCCTGTTCCCCACTCTCCGGGCACTCACCCCTCTCCCCAGACCCCCCAAGTCCTCCCTGTCCCCTCATTTTCAGGGCTCTGCCAGGCCCCCTTCACACAGGGCTGCAGTTCCATAAAGGATTTCCCTTTAAGGGGGGCTCTACACCCCAAAACCCCACAGGATGAAGCTCCTGATGCCACCCACACCCCAAAAAACCCCCAAAAAAACCCCCAAAAACCCCATTTATGCCTCTATCCCAAACCTAAAACCACCCCAATTGGAATTATCGGGGTACACCCCAGTTCTACGAAGGATTTCCCTTTAAGCGGGGGCTCTGCACCCCAAAACCCCACAGGATGAGACTCTGGATGTGCTCCGCACCCCAAAAAACCCCAAAAAACCCCATTTATGCCTCTATCCCAAACCCAAAACCACCCCAAAGGGGAATTATCGGGGTACACCCCAGTTCTATGAAGAATTTCCCTTTCGGGGGGCGCTCTGCACCCCAAAACCCCACGGGATGAGACTCTGGATGTGCTCCGCACCCCAAAAAACCCCAAAAAACCCCATTTATGCCTCTATCCCAAACCCAAAACCACCCCAAAGGGGAATTATCGGGGTACAACCCAGCTCCATGAAGGATTTCCCTTTAAGCGGGGGCTCTACACCCCAAAACCACCACAGGATGAGACTCTGGACGCGCCCCGCACCCCAAAGAAACCCCCAAAAAACCCCAAAACCCCATTTATGCTTCCAACCCTAACCAGAAACCACACCTGGGGACCCCCAAAACCACCTCAAAGGGGAATTATCGGGGTACACCCCAACTCTATGAAGGGTTTCCCATTCGGGGGGCGCTGCACCCCAAAACCGCCACAAGATGAAGCTCCTGACGCCGCTCACACCCCAAAAAAACCCAAAAAAAACCCCAAAAAACCCCCAAAAAACCTCATTTATGCCTCTAACCCCAACCCAAACCCACACCTGGGGACCCCCAAAACCACCCCAATTGGAATTATCGGGGTACACCCAAGCTCTATGAAGAATTTCCCTTTCGGGGGGGCTCTACACCCCAAAACCCCACAGGATGAGACTCTGGACGCGCCCCGCACCCCAAAAAAAAAACCCATTTATGCCTCTATCCCAAACACAAAACCACACCTGGGGACCCCCCAAAACCACCCCAATTGGAATTATCGGGGTACACCCCAGCTCTATGAAGGATTTCCCTTTCGGGGGGCGCTGTGCACCCCAAAACCCCACGGGATGAAGCTCGGGGAGCCCCCCCGCCCCCCCAAATCCCCCACTCACTCCGCTGAGCCTCAGCCAGGAGCAGGAGCGCCCCCAAAACCGCGATGGCCCCGAGCCCCCTCATGGTCCCCGCTCGTCTCTCGCTCCTCGCTCGGCTCGGCCGGGGCAGAGGCGCCGGGGACGGCGGCGGCGACACAAAAAGGGGGCGCTCATTTGCATAACCCCGCCCCCTCCTTCCCCCCCCCAAAAAAGGGGGGCGCTCATTTGCATAACCCGGACCCACCCCCGACCCACGTGGGGCCACCCGCGGTCACACGGCGCGGGGGAGGGGGGGACACGGGGACCCCCCCAAAAGAGTCAGGGGGGTTTGGGGGGGACATTGGGACCGTTTGGGGGGACATTGGGAGAGTTTTGGGGTTTTGGGGGGACATTGGGAGCGTTTTTGGGGTTTGGGGGGACATTGGGACCGTTTGGGGGGACATTGGAACCGGTTTGGGGTTTTGGGGGGACATTGGGACCGGTTTGGGGGTTTCGGGGGACATTGGGACGGTTTGGGGGGACATTGGGACCGGTTTGGGGTTTTGGGGGGACATTGGGACCCTTTTGGGTGTTTGGGGGGACATTGGGAGCATTTTGGGGGTTTGGGGGACATTGGGACCGTTTTGGGGGGACATTGGGACCCTTTTGGGTGTTTGGGGGGACATTGGGAGCGTTTAGGGGTTTAGGGGGACATTGGGACCCTTTTGGGGTTTGGGGGGACATTGGGACCGTTTGGGGGGACATTGGGACCGGTTTGGGGTTTTGGGGGACATTGGGAGCGTTTTTGGGGTTTGGAGGGACATTGGGAGCATTTTGGGGGGACATTGGGAGCGTTTGGGGGTTTGGGGGGACATTGGGAGCGTTTTGGGGGTTTGGGGGGACATTGGGAGCGTTTTGGGGGTTAGGGGGACATTGGGAGCGTTTTGGGGGGAATTGGGACCGGTTTGGGGTTTAGGGGGGACATTGGGAGCGTTTTGGGGTTTAGGGGGACATTGGGAGGGTTTGGGGTTTTGGGGGGACATAAGGACACCCCCCCCCCCCAGCTCGCCGAGGGGGTTTTGGGGGGTCGTAGGGACCCCCCCAGGTCGCCGAGGAGGTTTTGGGTTTTGGGGTTTTGGGGGGCGGCCCCACCATCCTGGAGACCCCAGGGACAGAGATTTGGGATTTTTTGGTTTTGGTTTTTTTGGGGTTATTTGGGATTTTGGGGGGTCGGGGGGGGGGTGACAGAGCCATGGGGGGAAAAGCGGGGGAGGAAAAAGGGAGGGGGGGTCCCCCCAATTCTGCACATGGGGGGGGGGCACTCAAGGGGGTCCCCGAGTTTAGGGAGAGTGGGGGGGCCCCAGTGGGGGGAATCGGGAGGGGTGGGGACCCCAATCCTGGGGGGTGACACAAAGGGACCCCAATGGCACAGGGGGGACCCCGATCCCGGGGGGTGACACGGGGGGACCCCAATGGCACAGGGGGACCCCAATCCCGGGGGGTGACACGGGGGGACCCCGATCATGACAAAAGGGGGGGGGTCCCCAATTCTGCACACGCAGGGGGACCCCGATCCCGGTGGGTGACACGAGGGGGGGACCCCGAAATTGGGGGGGACCCCGATCCCGGGGGGTGACACGGGGGGACCCCAATGGCACAGGGGGACCCCGATCCCGGTGTGTGACACGGGGGGACCCCGAACTTGGGGGGGACCCCGATCTTTCCTCTCCGGCCATTTCCGTGCCCCCGGGGCTGTCTCGGTGCGTGTGGCCGCTCGTGCGGGCCCCGTGACCCCCGAGAGCCCCGTGACCCCCGGGACTGCTCCCCGTGACCCCCGGGACTGCTCCCCGTGACCCCCGTGTGTCCCCCGGGGCCGCTCCCCGTGACCCCCGTGTGTCCGGTTGCGGTCCCGGCACTGCCCGAGCATCCCAGGCGGAGCCTGCGGCGTCCCGGGCCCGACCCCGACCCCATCCCGGTCCCTGTCCTGGTTCTGATCATAATTCCCGGTCCCGATCCCGATCCCATCCTTATCCCGGTCCCGGTACTGATCCCGGTTCCCGTTCCTATCCCCGGGTTCAATCCCGATCCCAATCCCGGTCCCAATCCCGGTCCTTGGTCCCGATCCCGGTTCCGGTTCCAGTCCAAATCCCCGGTCCCGGTCCTCAAATCCTGATCTCACTCCCTGGTCCCGGTTCCGGTCCCTGTCCCGATTCCAATCCCCGGTCCCGGTCCCGGTCCCTGTTCCAATCCCGTGTCCCTGTCCCCATTGTCCCGATCCCAATCCCGGTCCTGATTCCGGTCTCCATCCCCATTCCAATCCCCGGTCCCGGTCTCAATCCCGATCCCAATCCCGGTCCTTGGTCCCGATCCCGGTTCTGGTCCCTGTCCCGATTCCAATCCCCGGTTCCGGTCCCTGTCCCTGTCCCCATTGTCCCGATCCCAATCCCCGGTCCCGGTCCCTGTCCCTGTTCCAATCCCGTGTCCCTGTCCCCATTGTCCCGGTCCCAATCCCCGGTTCCGGTCCCTGTCCCTGTCCCTGTCCCTGTCCCTGTCCCAATCCCGTGTCCCTGTCCCCATTGTCCCGATCCCAATCCCCGGTTCCGGTCCCTGTCCCTATTCCAAGTTTCGGTCCCCGGTCCCTGATGTCCCAATTCCAATCCCCTGTCCCCTGTCCCGGTCCCCGGTGTCCCGATGCCACCCCCGTTGCCGCTTCCCGGTAGTGTCACTATCTCTTTAAGGGATCTCCCGCGTCTCCGATGACGTCACTCCGCGCTCAGCCAATGGCCGGCGGCGCGGGGGGCGTGGCCGGCGGCAAGGCGGGAAGCGGCGCGGGCGGGGCCGCCGCGGCTTTGGCGGGAGCGGGGGGGAGGCGGCGGCGCTCGGGACCCCCAGGGACCCCCCCCAGGGACCCCCCCCAGGGACCCCCGGGGACACCCAGGGACCCCCAGAACCCGCCCAGGGACCCCCCCGGGCCCGGGGACACCCCCGGAGCCCCTCCCCCACCCCGGATATCCCCGCCGGGACCCCCGGAACCCCCCCGGGGACACCCCCGGCCCTCCCAGGGACACCCCCAGCCCCGGGACACCCCCAGAGCCCCCCGGGGACACCCCCGTGTCACCCCCGTGCCACCACCGGGACCCCCCGAAGCCCCTCCCGCCACCTTGGGACCACCCCCCTAATTCCAGGGCCACCCTTGGGGACACCCCCGGGCCACCGAAACCACCCCAAGAATCCCCCCAGAACCCCCCCAGAACCCCCCCTTATCCCCATTCCCGGTGTCCCCGCGGTGTCCCCACCATCCCGGGGGTCCCCCCGGTGTCGTCCCCCCCCCAATTCCGGGGGTCCCCCCCCCGGTGTCCCCCCCCGCCCATGGAGAACTTCCAGAAGGTGGAGAAGATCGGCGAGGGCACCTACGGCGTGGTCTACAAGGCCCGCAACAAGGTGACAGGAGAGGTGGTGGCCCTCAAGAAGATCCGCCTGGACACGTGAGTGGGGGTCCCCGGGGGTCCCGGGGGGGTCCCCAAGGCTCACTGACCCCCCCCCCGTGCCTTTGTCACCGCAGGGAGACCGAGGGTGTCCCCAGCACGGCCATCAGGGAGATCTCGCTGCTCAAGGAGCTCAACCACCCCAACATCGTCAAGTGGGTCTGGGGGCTTCGAGGGGGGGTTTGGGGTGGAGATGTCACCGAGGAGGGGTCCCCAGGAGTGTCCTGAGGGGGTTTTGGGGGGCTCTGGGGGGATTTGGGGGGTCCCAAGCGTGTCCTGGGGGTGTCTTGGGGGGATTTGGGGGGTCCTGGGGGGCTCTGGGGGGGGAGATGTCACCGAGGAGGGGTCCCCAGGAATGTTCTGAGGGTGTTTTGGGAGGCTCTGGGGGGGAGATGTCACCGAGGAGGGGTCCCCAGGGGTGTCCTGAGGGTGTTTTGGGGGGCTCTGGGGGGGAGATGTCACCGAGGAGGGGTCCCCAGGGGTGTCCTGAGGGTGTTTTGGGGGGCTCTGGGGGGGAGAAGTCACCGAGGAGCGGTCCCCAGGAATGTCCTGGGGGCTTTGGGGGTTCAGGGGGGGAGATGTCACCGAGGAGGGGTCCCCAGGAATGTCCTGGGGGTTTTGGGGGGTCCTGGGTGGGAGATGTCACCAAGGAGGGGTCCCCAGGAGTGTCCTGGGGGCCTTTAAGGGGAAGTTTAGGGGGTCCTGGAGGGGTTTGGGGGGTCCCAAGAGTGTCCTGGGGGTGTCTTGGAGGGATTTGGGGGGTCCTGGGGGGCTTTGGGGGGGAGATGTCCCCAAGGAGGGGTCCCCAGGAGGGTTTTGGGGGGCTGTGGGGAGCCCCCATGACCAGGGGTGTCCCCAGGATGTGCTGTGGCCGTGCCAGGCCCTGTGGCCTTCCCGTGTCCCTGTGTCCCTGTGTCCTGTGGCTGTCTGTGTGTCCCAGGCCGTGTCCCCAAGCTGTCCCTGTGTCCCCAAGCTGTCCCCGTGTCCCCAAGCTGTCCCCATGTCCTCCCAGGCTCCTGGATGTCATCCACACGGAGAACAAGCTGTACCTGGTGTTCGAGTTCCTGTCCCCGTGTCCCTGTCCCTCTGTCCCAGGGCTGTCCGTGTGTCCCAGGCTGTGTCCCCATGTCCCCAAGCTGTCCCCGTGTCCCCAAGCTGTCCCCATGTCCCCCCAGGCTCCTGGATGTCATCCACACGGAGAACAAGCTGTACCTGGTGTTTGAGTTCCTGCACCAGGACCTGAAGAAGTTCATGGACTCCTCGTCCCTCAGCGGGATCGCGCTGCCGCTCATCAAGGTGGGGCTCCCCCCTCGAGGGGACCCTAAAACACCTGGGGGACACCGGGGGGACCCTAAAACACCTGGGGGACCCTAAAACCTGGGACTGGGACCCTAAAACACCTGGGGGACCCTAAAACCTGGGACTGGGACCCTAAAACACCTGGGGGACACTGGGGGGACCCTAAAACCTGGAAGGGAACATTGATTGGGGACCCCAAAACACCTGGGGAGACCCTAAAACACCTGGAGATCCCTAAAACACCTGGGGGACCCTAAAACCTGGGACTGGGACTCTAAAACAGCTGGGAGGACCCTAAAACCTGGGACTGGGACCCTAAAAC